ATTGTACGAATTATTGCGCCACGAAGGTCTGCGGTCGTTGTGCGAGCATTACCGCGCATTGCGGCTCGATCTTTTTGGTTTTTTTTTTCTTTTTTCGAATTTTTCGCGACTTCGGCAACCTTAAGGCATGAAGGTCGTCGCGCGAAAGGATTTCTCGAAGAATATTATTGCCAAAAATTGAGAACACGTGCCAGAATTACGATAACCCTGAGAATCGACCATGTAATTTTCTTTTAAGAGGAAAATAAAAACCGAAATCACAATCTTCCTCGAATTTCTTGGAATTGCGATCACGTATCTTACTTTATAACGCGTAATTTGATCGAATAAAATATAATGGTTCTCATATTATTCGCTATAAATCGTTGAATGCAATTTAATAAAAATACTTGATACGCTTAAATTTGCTCGTTTTCGAAACGTTTCGCTGAAATTTGTCGGGAAAAATCAAGGCGAGCATTGGCAATCGCCTCGTGTTCCGAAATTGGGCCGTTAACCTTGTCTGACCAGCGCGGACGACTGTTAACGTGCAAAACATAAACCGGTATTGCCCATACTCTGCCATGAACTACCTTCTATCATTCTTACACAAATGCATATCGTATATCACGAGATTTGCTATAAAATTATATCGATCGAAGAACTATCGATGCTATGCAAATTTCATTGTGAATATTAATGAATATAATTCTTCGGCAACAAAGTAGAAGCATAAGTAGTGATTAAAGATCATTAAAAAAATGCAAATGATCAATAATCTGTCAAAATGGCAAAATTATGTATCACTTTATATGATTTGCAATGTCAATTATGCAATTATATATTTCAAGTATCGCCGTCATTATAATTTATTTGCGCATAAGATATTTGAAAACTATATAATCAATATAGAAACTATTTCCATTCGCAATAATTTATCTCAGGATAATTTCCCAGATGAAACTTCCGGCCCGCCTTGATCATAATTCTGTCTCTGCGGAAAGGATAAATTAGCTAATTATCCAAATAAATAAAATCAGCCCGAAGAAATGAAATTAGCCTGTCGAGGAAATGTCGAGGGAACAATCAGCTTATATAACGCGTCAACTTCACATTTGAGTCTCCAGAACTTCTAATAATAGCGGGACACACGTGTATTTGTCATTCCATCTACACTTTCTGTCGATAAACAAAAATGGAATGTGTTTGCGATGAGACAGGAAACGCCGACTCGAGTGCCGTCCGGCGCGTTTCGCGTGTACACGCGCCGTCAAGATAGCCTCGGTACGTGAACAATTACCGGCGAGAGCTATCTCAAAAGAGCAAACCTGCCGCGAGATGCAGCCGATGCCGTAACCCGGCGTGAGAGAGCTGCCCCGGGATGAACGAGACGAGCAGATTATGCAAGCGCGCGGGTTACCTCGGCGGAGCAAGCCGGTCAATGCCAAGGTGTTCCACTCCGAGTATTACTCTTCCCTGTCGTTCCGACGGCGCCGTGATCGGCGCCGATCGCGTCGCCGATTTCTTCCACGCGGAGTCGGGGGATTCACTCCGAACGATTCGCATGATAAATCGTCATCGTTCCACGCGATGCTGCGCGAACGCCGCGTGATGCGGCAAATTTATAAATTGAACACTTCGTCGCGACCTCGCGGATTAACCCTCGTGCGAGCGGACGGAAAATTGTAAGCTATCGAACGATGAAATAGCAGCACATCGCAAGTGAGCTTTTTTTATGGAATATTATTGAACTAATAAATGGACCTACTTTTTTGCTTTCGAAATTTAATGAGTTTCGAAAGCGCAATTGTCTTTTCAATTAATTTATATATTGAATGAAATATGTTTTTCTAAAAAGAAACGATAGAGATGTTAAGTTCTTACGTTCTAAATCGCTTTAAGGCTGCAAGAAAGTATGTACGATGTATATATATATAGCAGAAAGTGAAGTAATAATGTTTCCGGCGTGCTAATTTAATTCACAAGTACTCGTAGCCCGAAGCGATACATTAATATATGGCATCAAGTGCAGCGTACCTATCGAGTGTCTAGGTAACGTAGATAATCACTTATCCTTGCATCTGAAAGTGATCGGGATAATTTCCATTGAGACATTTCGTATTCATGTTTTAACTTTCTCCTGTTTTATCGCTCTTACGCAAATATGCGGGTTCGGTAAAAAATATAACAAACTGTACACTCGGAAATAATGTACCGTACAACGCGATATCTCGAGTTTAACACAGAAAATAGCACGCTTTAAGCATAATATCCATAATTTTGTCAATAGAAATTTATTAAATAAAGAAGCATTTGCATACAAGGTGTGTCACACACCGGATATCCTTCAAAGTCAATTATCAATTTCCGGTGAACGAAGGCGTGACCGGTCGACCGATTTTGACCCCAAAGTATTACGTACCCCAAAAGTTTTTCGCACGCGCTTATAAAATCGTTATGCGAGCGACGCGCTGAAAGTCGCTCGTCGGCGGTGTCGAGGAATTAATGCTGCTCAGCGAGCACAACGCGAAACAAAAAGGAAAGTAGTTGAAAGCGTAAATTCAATTGGATAACGGTAGATCCGCGACTCTTACGTGCTGGCGCGTCAGCGCGGCCGGCGTTACGATACGCTCATCGGCGAACCATGAATAACAGAAATCGATAATTTCCAGTCAATTGCATTTTCAAAATATTCAACTCGCGAGATCGTATTTCCGATAATACGACGAAAATAGATGTCTCCCGCTTGAAATGGCAACTGTGCAACCCAGATGCAAAGTATGTTACGATCGATACGATCGACTTAACGAATAATGCCCATCTGATGAATCAACGCGAGGCTGCTCTGCAAAGATCTCGTTCCGCCACGCCTTTCACTCTCGCGGAACTAGTGCGATGGTTCAATGCCGTTTTACCGTAATCGTGGGACACCTTTGATGGACCGTATCCAAGGTCGAGTTATGATCCTGGATATTAATAAGACCGAGGAAAATTGCGTTCGAACAATCCGACTTGCATGCATGAATGTTGTAACCGAGTGTGAGAATTTTTTTTTAAACAAGAATTATCAATATTATAACGATGTAAATATACTAATTACGACAAGTACGAAGTCGCGGTGAATTCTGTAGCGATCGAGAAACACACCTCTAATAATCAGGAAGGAGATAATTCTTGTCTTCGAGTTTCCCAGCAAAGCCCTCGCGTGAGCGTCGTAATTATTACCACGTCTATCTCGAGAATAGTTTCCGACATTTTCCAATTTGGCAAGTGAGATCGAAGCGATCTCCGCTGTCGATCGCCAAGCGGTCGCAAAGCCCGATTCCTGAGCGTTTACTAGAGCAGGCCTCACCATTGCGCGGGCAATGTAACGGCACCTGCCAGCGGCCGTCTTGCATCACCTCTCGAAAAATCCTTCGACTTTCATCTCGCGAAACTGCCTTCATTTCGGCGACATACGAGACCCGCCCATTGCGCAATGTCTCTCCTACAAAGTCAAATTGCTTTTTTGCGCGGGAGATATGCGATTATTCGGGCAGGCAATTCGAGCGGCCGACAAGACCCGAGCGGCCTAATCGGATCACGAGCGTTCAAGTCCCAATTTCGCCGAATGACCCGAGAACTGTCTATTCAGCGAGCTTCGCGGGCAAGAATCGCGCGTTGCGCAGCAACGGAATCGACGTGATTTATGAGAATCGCGCGTTTTACTACCGGTACAAAAAGTACTTTGCCGGATGGTTGGGCAATCGCGCGTGGATAATTCAGGCAAATGCACGCGATTCTTTCGCCGCCTGTCACGTGAGTTGTTGTATTCTGGAAAGTAAGCACAATGGCCGATTTGCCGCGAAGTGAAAGGACCCGACGAAGACATCCCGGCGTTTGTTACATCCGTCCCTTCGAAGTTACGTGTGCGCCGTACGCGAGGATAGTCGCGCGTGAAACATCCTCGGGTAATGAGCGACGTTGAAATAATGCCAGCCAACAAGTAACGAACTAATTATGACCGTTAATCGTACGAATCGGCCGCGACTTCCTCCTTTCCATCGCGCGCGTATCGCCTAGAAATGGCTCCACCTTCCCCGACGAACGTCCTTGGGGGCCCGGCGCACCGAGAGAGGGTGATGAAAATCCACCAGTCACGTGTACCATGCCGGTTCGAGCGGTCGCGCCGCGATTCCGTTCAAGCCCGACACGGTTTTCTTATCGTCTATTGCACCGATCGAAATATCGAAAACGTGCCTGTCAGTGCGTAAAATTGCCGTGCGTCCCTCCGCGAGGAGAACGTTGATTCGTGGGAAAATTATCCTACGTGACTTATCTGTGCGATGCACGTCGAGATTGCGCGCGACTCGAGAACAATCGAGAACCGGTCTGATTCATGAAATGCGCGGCGACACGATTTGTGATAAGGAGCACTGATCTCGTTCGATCGCAGTGTGGGCAGTGTCGTGTTTAAATGTCGCGAAGTGAGTATGCTGAACCGTGAAATAAGCGATCGATGAGAACACAATGGAGATATCCACGTCGGATCGAAGCGAGGACACGGAGATAATTTTGTAAAAAAGAGAAATTCCGAAGTTTCCTTACCAATTAATTGTTCGAGACTAATTAAGAAAATTATTTGCAGTGTATCTCTTCGCTTCCTGACATTTTGATTGACGTGAAAGTTTGAATAATTCAAGCGTTTATCGAGTGTTGAGGATGACTCTGTAATGAAGTAATTAATGATTGAGAATTATCGGGAAATTCATTAGAATATATAAAATACTCGGAATGAATCCCGCAATAATCATTCCAGGAATGTTAAGTATTTGATGATGACTTTGACCACACTATTGTGATTGAGTGTTATGTGTTGCTTCTTCTTGCACGGCTAAATGCCGGTGTTTCGTCACGTAATTCGTGTAGATTAAGTAGTTATTTACGCGGAGAAATCGAGTGCACTCGCGTAAGCCGCCTCACGTCTCCATCATTGGATTGTCCGTCTAGCAGGTTCTCGGAAGGAGCGCATTATTGCATGTGACAATTCAATTACAGCACACATCCGGAATTCTGACAAACGTATGTCCGTTCCGGATGCATGAAGAAAGGTATACTTTGAGTCTCCGCATTTGATCGAACGCGGAATTTGCAGGGAAATCAGGACGCAGATGTGAATTTTAGAATTCGATAGAAATTAACGTAAGAATCACGATGAAAAATTTTGCCAAATTCTCAAGAATATATTTAAAAATTCTGCGTCAATGTGCAATTATACAATACTTAGTCATTTCTGTGGCGAACGGATATTTTGATCTACATCGTATTGCTTGCATAATGCTATTTATATAACGACTTTCTATTTATAGTAACCGAAATGATTAATTACTGTATCAGAACAGCGTAGGAGACGCGCATCCTAGTATCGCAGATAAACGAACGAAGGGAAGCCAGTAGGTATTTGGAGAAAAAGTGGCGAGAAAGATAGGCAAAGTGCGACGTCCGTGAGCGACTGTCGGAAGTGCGCTATCGTGTTGCTCGTGCCGGCGTTACTTCCGCAAACTTACGCGGCCGCGTTGCAGCAATGCGCGCTCGTGTCCGACGCTAATGCATCAACGCTTTGAACGTGCACCACGTATGCTTGCGGAAACCTATGTTGGCCGTGCCGGTTCGTTACTCAGTCGCAAGTCATTACGAGTCGGCTGGTACTCCAGTGACCCGTGAATGTTTGTCGACCGCTCACCGGCCTCTGTTCGCCAGCGAAAGGCGTGGCAGCCCCCTCGATCTATCGCATTCTCGTATCACCGCAATCCAATGGCGGAATTAGCGAATTCGCTCCGAATGCACGAGCGAAATCTCGGAAGATTATCCGCCGATGTATCGCGCGGCTCGCAGCATCCATTCTCACGGGATCTATTCGGATTTTTTCAAAACCCACCCAGAGCGCGTATCTTGTGCATCGAAAGCGAATACGTCGAACGTTCAAACTATTCAGCATTTTAATATTTACGCTCGAGTTGCGAAATTACATCTCGCTCTCTCCTCGTGACTATCCGTGAGACGCTGAAAATTTCAGAAATTACGGTTGTTTCTGCAGACACGACTTGTCAAACGGTAATAGAGACGAAAAAGCCATTAGTAGCGCGCATTCTGTTCCCGCAAGATTAAATTGCGGGACGGTAGTCTGCCTAGGACGCGAATAAACATACGCTTTTGTTCGTGACTTAGTACTTAATTAACACCGTTACGCAATTAAATCCTTGACATACGTTGGAAACCGCGTGCTGTTGTCTACCGACGTTTACAAATGTACGCGATTCCGGTCATCGTGGCGAACAAACCGTTTTACCGCGCTGTGCGACGAATCTTTCGCTGACCCAAATGCAGAAATCGTTTCGCGCGAAGAATAAAAGCGTTATCTAATTAGCACGGTCGGCCCGCATAATAAGTGCGTTTCAAAATGTACACGAGCTTTTTCCCGTTATATTCTCACGCGCGCGCAGTGTAAAAAAAAAACAGCTACGCTCCGATCGCGAGCTGAAAATAATGCCTTTCCAATCGCGTTACAAAAATATGCGTACAACGTGTACGAGATAAATAATGCAGATGATTTATTTTCAGATGACGCATCTCGCATTATTTCTGCGGAGGCTGCCACTAGCAATAGTACTGATAGCGACATGCACGACGATAACGGAATCGTCGACGGACCGGGAAAGGAGGCACGTCGGCACCGAGGGATCTAGTCACCGATCGGGCAAGGAGCACGCGTCGGGCACGAGCAGCACGAAATCGAACAACGAAATCACCGCGGAACCCGGAAGGAAAGTGTCCCACCATCTGATCGGGGGTCACCTAAGAGTCGATACAAAGAGCCGCGACGGCGGCGAGCCGCTGTGGGACGATGGAATTCTCATGTCGGCGGCCGGCAACGGCAAGGAGGGGAAGAACGTTCGCGGCGGCGGCGGCGGCGACGACGAGGACGAGAAGAAAACGCTCTCTCAGCAGGTCAAGGAGGGCAAGTACGGCCTCATACAGAACGAGATTTACGGCGAGCGGCCGAAGCGGCCCGGCATCATCAGCTACCTCGGCAATCCCGAGGTGCCGAAGGACACGATTGACAATCTGGGTGGTCTCGGCGAGGAGGAGATCTGGCTGGCCGAGAACCACGTGCTGGTGCTGAGAGGCGGCAACTTTCCCGAGCACGAGCAGGACGGCCAGCAGCAGACCGACGGCGGCGCGAACTGGCCGCCCATCGACGATTACAAGGCGCCCCAGCGGCAGGTCAAAATCCCGGCGCGGCCGCGCGTACCGCCGCCCTTTCCGGTTCAGCTCACGGACGGCGGACCGGTACAGATCATCGGGCCGAACGGCACCGCGGAGAACATCGGTAACAGCACGGCCTTCGACCACGGCGCGGATCCTCTCTACACGAAGGGCGTATTACCGGGGGAGGATCCGTTCTTCGCTATCACTCCGAACGGCACGGTGTTCGCGCCGGATCTCGGCCCGCCGAGAAACGTCTCCGTAGAGGAGAAGTCGTCGAGAGGCAGCGAGCGCAAGGAGGCAAAGCCCGAGCTTCAACCGCCCGCCGGTTTCCCGCCGTTCTACCACGCTATTCCGCCCGGCGCGGTCTTCGTGCCGCCGCCGAGCAATCAGTCGGATTACGACGAGGAGGATCAGTCCATCTACTATCCGCCGCCGTACAGCTTCTATTATCCGCAAGATAACACGACCGCTGTGCCGCCGGGCCCGCTGGTGCCCGGAATCATACTGCCCCCGCCGCCGGACTTCTTCTCCGCTCTGGACGACAAGAAGACCACCACGAAGAAGTACACGAAGCGACCGGAGACTACGCCGTCCTCGCCGAAGCAACGACCGACCTACTTGCCGCCGAGAAAGATCACGACGAAGCAGTACAAGACTTCGACCGTCCTGCCGAACTCGGTGACCAAGATAACGTCCTCCTCGTCGATCACCACGAAGACGTCTTACGATCGTAGCACGACGATCAAGAACGCGACGAGCACGTTTGCGCCTAAGAGAACCGTGGAGATCACGACGAAGACACCTGGTAAACCGCACACTCTCGAGAACACCGAGAAGTACACCATCAGTCCGATAATCGGGAACCAGGTGTCCGAGGCGACGACCCAGCAGAAGGGCTGGTCCACCCTGACCAGCAAAACGATCCCGGTTCTCGCGTATTATCCGTCGACCACGCAGCCGTCGTTGGAACGACACGTAGAGGTGACGCCGGCCTCCGTAAAGAGCATCATCACCACTAGTCAGCCCGGTCGGTCTTCGAGCCACGCGTCCTACTACTTCTACGAGGAGTCCACCGATGAGAACTCGGGCGGCACGGCGAGCCCGCCGCCCGTTTATTACGAAACCACCACCACGAAGCCGCCCTCGTACTACAGCGTCGAGGCGTCGCGACCTCAACAGGCCGAGCAGAAGAAGCATTATTACGCCGTCGAGACGATCGCGCCGGTCGAGACGCCGACGAAGGACTACAAGGTGAAGCTTATCGATAGTATCGTGAAGAATTCGCACACGTTCCAGTACGCCGACGATGCCGAGGTGACGAAATTCCAGGCCGGCCCGCCTCGCGATCAGGGCCAGCGTATGCTGGCCGACGAAGCGCCTGTATTCTACCAGCCCGCCGCGCGCCCGAATCACGTCCCGTTGCAGACGTACTACACGACTCCGAAGCCTCAAACGTACTATCGGCAGAGCACGAGGCCGAAGCCGATTTATCAGTACAGTTTCCAGATAGCGGATTACTCGAAACGCGGCAATCAGGGATCGCTGTATCGCAGAGAGCAGCAGCCGCAGCAGCAGCAGAACGCGCAGTACAGCGAGTATCAGGACATCAAATCCGGCAATCAGCAGTACGATTATGAGGACATCGAGGACTCGCCGCGGCAGCCGCCGCCGCCGCGGAAGCGCGTGCTGTACAAAACGCAGCATCCGGTTTATCCCACGAGCACCGCCTATCCGATCGTGGACACGACGTCGAATCCGCAGCACGCGTACTTCACGCAACAGGATGAGAAGCTGCTGGACGACGTTACGAAGGAATACTTCACGATCTTCGGCAAGAAACTGCCGGACGGGGGGAGCACGACACCGATCTACGGCAAGTCGAGCAGCGTGACGGAGAAGCCCGCGCACGGCGTGAACGCTTACGCGCCGAACGTCTACAACACCGGTCAGCCGGTGACCTACAAGACGCCCAACGTCAAAGTGCACTACGGCGACCAGTCGGAGCGACCTTTCTCCCTCAAGGACGACACCCTCGTCAACTACCGCAGACCCCTGCCGCCGCTCGAACCGGAGAGCGAGTTCATCGAGGTGATCGCGCCTAAACCTCAGCCGCAGCCGTCGCCGTTGCCAAGCTACAGGCTGTCGGAAGGCTACCGAGTGCAGAATCAGAGAGTTCAACAGCACAACAGACCGACCTCTCGCTACAGATTGCCGGGAACGATACAAACGACCAGCGGACACGCTAATAACTTTGTGCCTCTCTCCGAGTCCCGGGAAGAGCTGGAGGAGGACGTTGGGGAACCCGCCTCGCTGTTCGAAGACATAGACGTCAACTACAGGAATCCGCGTCCACCCGTAAACCCCGACGCCGAATTCATCGATCCTGTCACCGTGCAGGACAATCCGAACGCGTACTTCGCGTACCGTTTGCCCGGCGACGTCGGTCACTTTTACTTCCTGACGCCGCAGGCGATCACGCAACGGCAGGATCAGAGCGGTGGATACGTCTATCCAAAGCCGAGGGGACCGCGATTACGGAGACGCCCGGCTAACGTCTGAACGAGCGCGTTTCCTCCGGCAATCGCGCGATGCCATAATCTCGCGGACGTCCAGCGCGACCAAGTGATCGTCTGCGTGCGTATCGTGCCGCTAGCGCGCGACGCACGTGTATTATTAACATATTTATTACATTTGTAAATATGAATTGACTAAGTTAGATAATTACAGTCACGTTGTTTTACGAGAATTGCTTAATTTATTACGCAACCCGATCCTCCCGCCTTAGATATAGATATGCGATATCATACTGGCGCGGCTTGCTTGCACCGTCAATATCGACTTGCGCATTATCTGTGATTAAATGATAGAATTGTCACGTGTATATACATATAGTTTCTTTGGATTTTTCTCCATGTGCCGAATAAAATTAAATAGAGGGAAAAATTAAATTAAATAACAACTACTTGCGCAAATCTCTACTGGCTTTACAATACGAGTTGTAGAAAATGTTTTATATATCGATTAGAATGTAGTATACATATTTCTCCTACTTGTAATTCTTAGTGTCATATAAGATATTTTTAGATTAATAAAGATCACGATATGTATTTAATCGCAATGTATATTTCTTAGTTATAAAAACTATATGCACACACTTTGACATGTGACTTTTTCAACTCTCAAGTCGCGACTGATATTTTTAGATTAAATATAGTTTTGAATAATAATAATGACGAATCAAATATAGTTTTGTTCTTTCTGCGAAATTAAAGATATGCTGTTGCATATCGTTTATGTAATAATTAATTTAATTTCGACTTAAAAAAATTATAAAAAATACAATATGTCCAATTGTTCAAGAAGCAACCAAATTACGGCTTCGACTCTTTTCATATTAACGTTATTTACGCTAATATATTATACGAATCTTCCCAATATTTATTTTGATTTATCGAATTTATCAACGATGCAATAAGCATAAGTATTAAACGGATAATACTTAATGTTTAAAAAAATGATATATAGTATACAAAACTCACCAGTGTCGATTTCTTGCGTTTGTGCTGGATCCGGCAAAGGATAGTCATGCAGTCGCAGGTAAACTTCCATTGCACATTTCGCTGCTTTGAAGTAAAACGGATGAGCACGAAGAACGTCTTCTAGCCTTAGCAGACCAACGTAAGAGCGCAATGTCATTTTTCGCATACAATATGTATGAAAGTCGAATTGGTCCTCTATGATTTCCGAAAAATGCTGTAAATAATCGTGGCGTTATAACGACGAATTATATATGGCGTATTTATTATTTTAATGCGCGATATATACAACTTACCCTATCAACTTCGTGACATTTTTTCAACGCCTCCCCGTATTTTCCAAGCCGTTTGTACGCATTGGCTGCTTCTGTTTGAATCCACATACATTGCATTTCGTTCAAATTTTCCATAGCTAAAACTCCTTCTCTCGTGAATTTCCCACACGTCTCCTCCGCTTCCTTAATAAGATTCGCACGGAGCATGTACTTGGCACATTTAGAGTTAATATATCGGTCAGCTGTATCTAATCCCTGCGCCTCGTCCAGCCATTTATAAGCTTCTTGAACATTCCCCGCGTGCTGTTCAACAAACATACAGAATTTCCTTTAGACTACACATCTTTCATATTATTCCTTACAATAAGAATTTCTATGTATTTGTTACATAACGCAATTATATAAAAATGTACCTTATAAATGCGTCCTTTAGTAACGAAAAGTTCGATAAGCGTAGGCGTATGATCTATGGCAGCATCTATCTCAATCAACGCTTTTTCTGTTTGACCGAGATAATCGTAATGTTGTGCTAGATAATAATATGTCCATAATAAAGCAGATGCCGGTTCTCTTGGATTATCTTTCTCCTGATCGCTAAAATGGCCATGAAGTTTTAATGCCTCCTTGTATTGCACAAGTAGAGATGATATGACTTCGACCTTATCTTTGTCGGTGTATAACGAACGAAGATTGACAAATAATGGCGGTACACCTTTATGAAGCCCTGCAACAAAATAAAACCCAATCGTATACAATGTATTCGACAAAATTGCACAGATAATATAAATAAGTTTAGGTAAGTAATTGCATGCGAAAAGAAAATTACCTCTTCGTAAATATCGATCCACTAATACTTTAAATTCATCTCCTGTCGCATAATTGAGTTGCAAACGGCGTGGCGCTAATGCTCGAGGAAAGAGTTCTTCGTATCTTTGGAGCATATGTAACGTTTCACCCGGTACAGAGTGTCTCTCAGCTTCTGCTAGCCTAGTGTAATATGTTGTATTTTCAGGATTAATATCTAATAGCTCCTTATAAACTTGTTCCGCTTCTGCGAACTGTTTCAATTGAAGTCTTAATTTACCTGAAAAAAAATTTAGAAATGTTAGAAAAAATTAAGATATTAGAAACATTCTATAAAGAATTATATATTGCACACTTACCATAAGTCTCTTTTACAGTAACCTTGTCACAAATTTGATCATTATACTTGTCTAAATGTTTTAACGCCTGTTCACTTTCTCCTGATTCTTGAATGACCATGTTCTGATATAACAGCAACTCACTATGTTCGTAATCGTAACAAATCTGCACATTTTGTGAATATTTCTATCACATATCTTTCATTACCATATATAATATAGAGCATTATATATAAATAATAAATGTGTAAAAACGTACCATTGGAGAATTTCGAAAAGTATCTAAAATTTTCAATGCCATCTCATAGTCTCTCAACAAATGATACGAAATAGCGAAACCAATCCAAGAAGCTCGTTGAGTAGGACGTAACATAAACAACTGATATCTGGTATCCTAGAAGAGAAATAATTAATTAGAAACAATCAAAGTATATTACTTATAAATTGTATCAACATGCGGCTATGATGAAAACATTAGAATGTAATACATACAACAAAGTACAAATAACCTGAAATGCACACTGGAATTTTTACCTTATAACCCTCCAGATCCCGCATCTGAATTTGTAGCAACGACAGATCCCTAAGAATTTGAATATTGTCCTTATCCCACTTAAGCGCATTTCTGTAACATTTGATAGCCTCATCATATTTCTTGTCAGAGCGCTGTAGGAGACCATAGACATGCCAGCAAACATGAGACTGTAGATCATTTCTGAGGCCACGTCGGACATGATCATAAGCTTCTTCTTTGCGACCTAAACAGTTAAGAGTAAGACCTTTCATCGCCAAGGTCTCCCCATGTTCGCTGAACTTGGGATTCGATAAGATCTGTTTAGCAAACTTTAACCCATTTTTGTATTGTTTATGTTCGTAACACCTCTGTAAAAAATACATAACATATATGATAAAAATGTATCATAGGGTTAAAAGGAGGATTTGGTGGGTTCTAATCTATATCTGCGTAAGTTTTGTGATACTGATCGCCGCGAAGTATCACCAAACGAAATGTCTTTTCATTCATAAGGCCAAGCACGGCGTCGCGTTTCGCGATCGCCAGTGACTTTTCCCGTTTTTCCCGAAGAGTGCTTTATCATTAGAGCATGATGAGTGCACTCTATTAGCCGGAGAGTGGGGTCCAAAACAGAGTATTTTGATCGGTCGTTACTCACCAGAATTCGCTTAAACAATGCATTTTCTTTGGGTGGCAACGGGTTGCTGGAGGGCATTTTTGTATAATTACAAAAATAGGGGGCCTTTTCCACCCGGTAAACTTAATTTTCACCACAAAACCTCGTGGCCACAAACGAAGAAGTCGATCTTCGATCACGTGATCATCTGCGACAATGCTGTTCCGCCGGAAGTGTTGCTGCAACGGTGCCGCACGATTCAAGTAGTCGGTACACTCCGATCGATTTTCAATCGAATATAAGACGATCTTTTGCTAAAAACTTCTGTATAATAACAACATATATTAAAACTAATACTAATTATTTGTTAAAAATATAATGCATTAATAAAATAATTCTTTACAAATTTATGTACTGATGATTAAGATACTGTTTCTATGAAATATTGCAATCCAATATAAATGTTCAAACGTAAATTGCGCGTAAACAAATATAAAGTAGCAATATAATATTTAATATCAACAATCTTCTTCTTTTGTCTCTTTCTTAATGCTAAAATTTACAGCTTGTTCGTTTTGAAGTGCAGAAGTGCAACTAGCGTAGCTAAAAGGACGAAGCTTTAACTACAAAGTCTTTAGAGTGTCGTACGATACATAAAGAAATTCACCAATCACATGTCTTATGTAACATTACTTTTTTCTTTCGACAGAGAGCGCATCGTACGACTGCTCGAATTTTTAGGTCGAATAACCTTCTCATTTTTATATTCTCAATAGTACATCAGACGTTCGGTAGAGAGCGCATGATACTTCCGATGCATTATTTTTTTTTCAATGCGAATTTCGACGCATGCATATATGTGCAATTATAATATGTACATTTGAACGCTGTTTATCACTTTTCTAACTTTTATTACAATTTGATATAAATATCATTTGTAAAATAGATAAATGCAAGAAATGTTTTTTGTGTAACAGTGTTTAAAGAAGCTTGTACATGTGAAAGGTTATAATCTCATCACATGTGTGTTAATTTATATGAATATTATAAGTGAATATATATAAGTGCACATAAATTGCAAATATATCAAGTATTAATTTTTGGAAACATGAGGTACTTTTATGGCAAATTATGTTTAGTATTATTAGAGGAACATTTTGGATCCATCATACAGTGTATAGGTAATAGTTTATTATATGGAACAAAAACGTTAACTGCAATACACCATGATACACGTCTATCACTGGCAGAGGTATAGTAAAAATAATATTTTTATTATTAACATTTTGTACTTATTATAAGAATCCATTTATCTTAAGATTATATTTACTAATATATTTCGTTATTATGTATAGATAAAGAAAGGAATAAGTGTTCTTATAAAATTTGGATTTGTCACCTATCAGCGCGATAACGGAATTGAATATACTTTAGATCACAACAAAATTATTATGATTCTTCGTTATCCAAGGTATTCTTATATATAAATTAAAAGTTCTCGTATTATACATACACACAATATGATTTGTCTGAGGTTGGAAATATTGTTTATTACAGATATATGTTTTTTGTGAAGACTGAATATGGAGATGAAGCTGAAATCATGTTAGAAGTGGTCTTAAAAAATGGATATATTGCAGCATCGAAAACAATAATAGAAACATATAAACGTCTTGAGCATTTATCTTCTAATTGTAAGACTTCTAATTGTAAGACTACACAATAGTTTATTCAGATGTCTTCTTATCAGGAATTACTTAATCTGTTCTTATATAACAATGATTTGTATGTAAGATTTGTGTACTAAATATCTAAATTATTTTTTTTTTTCAGCTACTCAGAAACCTTCCATCCCAGATTTGAAAGATATATTTCATTTATTAATCACGAGTAAAATTTTGATGCGTAGCATATTTTTTGATACAACAGCGGAAAGTGCAGAAAAACCTGATTACAATTTACCAGAGATTGACGTAACAGCAATTCATAGTATATTACAAGGACAAGGTGCTGATCTGAAAGATAGTAAAATATATTGGAAAGTCAATTTTGATCGACTTACTGAAAATCTTAGGTAGAGACCCCCAAACTATAATGCTTCTTGATTATTTTTTACAATAATAATATATATAATTTATTTTAGGGATCAAATTATTATATCAGCCATGAAACAAAGATTCGACAAAAATGCTGGAAAATTAATGACGCAATTGATCAATTTGATGCACTCACGGACTGTATCGTGGCAAGATACATCAAATCCAATTCCATATACTGAGATAAAAGAGAAGGTAAAAATGTTGAATTTTCCAGAGCTTGAACAGTATCTTGATCAGTACCTGCGGCTTATAGAAGATGATAGTAGTCAATTTATTAAACGAGTTGGTGATTCCGGTGGAGGGCAATACGTTGTGGACATGAAAAATGCATTTACAAAACTAGCATGGGTAACCTTAGAAAGTATCGTAACAGAAAGATTCGGTTCCAAAGCGTCCAGAATTTTTAGGTAAAGTTTTACAGATATTTAATACCAAAAATTTTATCTATCTTTACATAAACATTTTATTTTTCTATGATTTTAGATTAGTGCGTGATGAAAAAGATGTTAATTTGGAGCAAATTCAAAGATTAGCAATGATTTCCATAAAAGATGTGAAATTCTTAACATATATCTTGACACAAGAGAATTACATACAGATGCAAGAGATAAGGAAAAGTGGATCTTTGACGACACCATCGAAGGAACCTTTCCGCTTTCATATCGAATTGGCTAAAATTGTTGAAATGGAAATTGAACATTGTTGCCAAGCATTGTACAACATTATAAAAAGGCGAGATCATGAAACAACTAGTAATAAACGCATGATAGAAAAAGAATTGAGAGTACAGATACTCTCATTTAACATGAAGGAACATGGTGCTACAGAACAACAATTGGCTGAAGTAATATATTAATATTATAGAGATAAAGAATGCAACGAATTAATGATGAATTATGATTTAAAAAAATTTTTTTATAGCTTGCAGAAATGATGACGCCATCTGAGACTCAACAGCTTGAAAAAGCACAAAATGCAATCAAGAAACTAGGTGCTACGGAGCTGCAAATAGATGAAACATTATTTTTATTAACTATGTATTTTCGGTATCATTGAGTAATATTTTTTTTAATGCTTTGGTTTTCTTCGTAAAACATGAGTGTGAAAATAAGACTCTCGCATTTCATTTATATAGTTTATATTTATTTATGTGTAATAATGATTACGCTTGTAAAATACAAACAACAAAGAGTACCTAGCTTTCAAATTATTATAATAAATATAATCATATATTTATGTTTATAATAGTGCTGCTCTCTATTGTGTTACAGTGCATTTGATGGTTCTATCTATAAGGAAAAGTCATCTTGAGTTAAGTTGCCATAAGAGAAATTAATAATTGATCAGTATTTAATCATATATTTTGATTTAAGCAATGAAGTAATTACAATATGTTTTTTCAAAAAAATGGTCAAAGAATGGAACAAAGATGAATTACGTAGTTTCACAGCCAGCTTGTGGTGCGTTTTTAAGAAAGTTTCTATTTTAATTTCAATTATGTTTAATAAAAATATCATTTGCAAATATGATTTATAAGAAGTGCGAATGCTACGCCTTTAGATAGACAATTATACTTCACTACATACTCCCAAAGAATGACTTTTCCCTTGTTCTACTGTATGCTTTGTACGCTCATCTTAACACTGCCGCGACGAAGACAGACTATTATGAGTATGTATCAATAAATAAAATTTATAAAGTAGTGTTATCAGCGATTTACCCATCATCCTAAATATATATTTTGATTTTATGCCTTTATTTTATTGATATCGCGATAGAGTACCCTACGATTATGACACGAGTAGTGTTAAGATGATCGTGAAAATTTCTATTCCCCACTCACACATGCATCTGACTGTTTTTATATCCTCTATCTTTCTCTCACACTTTCTCTCTCCCTCTCTCTCTCTCCCCATTTGCACTGGTACTGCGTAACTATATACATTCTTCATACATACAAGTTTCATCTAGAAATAGTGTCATATACCTAAAACTAAGGTTGAATTTCGGTAAAGCGTTATTTTATTATATTTTTTTTATACCATTAACAACAACGTACATGTAAATGAAGTGAATGCTTGGAATATTGAGAGCGGATGTTAGTGTTCACTTTTTCTTTATGTTAAATATACTATAATATTAGTAATGTAGTTCGATTTACAATTTACTATTCTTACAGTTTGCATTCGCATTGGTTGCATGTAAAGGCCAGTAAATATAATAATAGTGTGCTGAGATTTTTAGCGCGTAATGTGTTTATGATATCCGAAAGTAAGGGGAAATCGCCACGGACTAAATATCATTGCTAATTTCAACGATCAGATGGATAGAAATCGCAATCGATGGAATGCAGAACCGATTTTTTGTTAAAGCAAACACTGCGGACAATAAAGTTGATAAGATTTAAAAAAAGATGAGGGCCAAACTCTCTGTAATTGCACGTGTAATTATAGTATAAATTTATAATATAAATATATGTACACAAATATATATACTTATAATATAAATTGTATACCTTTAGATGTTTCAATCTTATAAAATTTTGCAAATGTGAAAATAAAATTTTTTCAATATTCATGATAATGAAGTTATGGCACAATCGAAAAAATGCAAGATAGGCAGATATTTTATTCAAAATATTTATAACCTTTCTGTTAATTTAAAAACTGTTAATAGCAAAATAAGTAAAACTGAACTTTTTAAAAACTTACTTTTGAAAGTTTAAATGGCGATAAAAAACTGATTTAGAAACATTTTAAAAATACAAATAGTTCCGAATTAAAAATCACACGATTCATAATTGTGGCGTAAACTTAGAAATTCTCACATGCGATATTCCGAAATCATCACAGACGAAGGAAACGACTCTATAAAAAAAAAAAAAATATGTATTACGTACGTAGAAATATGACATTAAAATTTGATTGAGTATTCGAGCAAAAACGATCAACGAACTTCTACTTGCCGTTCTTGTTCAAACTGGCATGTACAACCCTTCTTTGCTATTAAAAATAATAAGGCTCATCACTTAAATAATAGTACTAAGTAAGCAACGATGATATTAACTGTAATATTTATAATAATGATAATAATAATAATAGTGCCATCAATAATAATCATAATAATAATAAAGATAATAATGACAATGAAAATAAGAATACGTATCGCGTTTAACATTATTAATCTACATACTTCGAATAATTACATATATAATGTAGCTACGTAGATACATCACAATATAGTTACACTGTACATTAATAATATTGACGCTTGTGTCGGACCGCGTGATCAATGATTATCCCCCGACACATTGTACAAATCCATTATATACATAAAATAAATTATTATCAACATTAAGCTAATCCTAATCTGACGCCGGTCGAGCCCCAACGAAATGGGTGCAGAATATATCGAGGATACTGGCTCTCTTTATAAAATTATATTAGGTACCGTGTGTATGTAATTGCACTGATTATAAATAACAAAAAGAAAAAAAAAACACGTGAAAAAAAAGAGGAGACGCTAAAAATTCGTTTCACGTCGAGCCAACGAGCCGACTCGGAACTAGAGGTCTTTTTGATTAACCCCCGCCCGCGAAAAAACGCTATTTGGCACATAAGTATTATCACATCGAGCTCCAAATCATTACACCGCCCTTGTTCGATCGTCCCGTGAACTATATGCTTGCCTAGTCTAGTACAATCGTTTCCGTCTTTTGCATCGGCTTATATGAGGCCGTAATTACTTCCCCCATAAACCTCGTTCCCTATATTCACCCCTCATTTACGAACAGAATTCAGGCAGTTTCGAAAAAACATAACGTAACACACACAATTGCATCGCACCCCATCGCACTGCATTGCATCGTAACAAACGCGACGTGTCGCGCGTGACAATTATATCGCCGACGTGCACTAATCTTTCACATAACGCTAATCCCATCCGCGATTTTACTGTAACGTTGTACTAATTTATCGACGTTCCGCTAATTCTCATGTCCGTCTTTATTTTTTATAGCTTTCTCGCCCTCTCCTCCCCCGCTACTCAGTCAACTATTACCTGTCTCGGTTATCGCCGTTTTATATTAGGGTCAATAAATTAACGATGAAAATACTATAAGTACTAAGCATCTATATTAAACGAAGCCGTCACGCACCGGGATTAATCGCGCGAGCGATTATCATTTAGTTTCTTCTCACTCGGTTTCCGTACCTTTCGTTCAGCACATCGAACGTGGCCGTTTTATATACGATGGTACATTTAGACAACTGACTGGCGGTCGCAAGTAAGATTGCCACATGCGTGTCTACACGCTCGGACGCACACGATTGTTGTGGGAGATGTTATTTTGTTGATAGATCAGTTTTTTTACTTTTTTTTTTTTTCTTTCTTTTTCTCGATACGATCGATCGGAATGGCGTATCGTTAGACACACACACACACACACTAGAAGGAATAGGAACAAGACTTTTTGGCCATGCATCGTGTCGCAAAGTGTACGTGATATCGCTGCGTATCTAAAGTCCAATGAAGCACGAGTAGTTGCGCATCCGAGTCGGCGCGCCGAGGTAGCACGCGATTGTTTTTTTCTTTTTTTTATAAAAATTATACGAATGCACGCATGCCCTCGTATCACTCGCCTCACTTTGCGCGTGTACATTGAATGCAAGATTGAGAATGCAACGAGCGTCGGGTTTTGACCGCTGGTTCAACGTCGATTAATCATACCTCTACACGTTAGCTACCGATGATTGAAAGTCTATCGTGAGTTTCATGTGGACTGCAGTTTTGATTACGATGCAGGAGAATGCAGGAAATTTCGTCGACGTGCGCAAGAAACGCCATCCTCCGTCGTCGCTCGTATAAAAAAAAATTTACCAAACAAAAAGCATTTAATGTCTGACAGATTAGAGCGTCGTTTGTGCTATTTCAATTTAGACCGAGTTTAGAACACATTGGAAAGATTACTTTGCTGAAAATTCAACAAGAAATAAAAGAAGCATCTTACGCAGAAAATTTACTGCGGCCGCCATATTATATGCAAATGAATGAAACATCGGCCTCGATACAAACTGCCTGAAAATAATATCGTATTGCACAACAATGGAAAATTGAACACAAATTAATGTCCAAAATAAACGTCGGACATTGATCAATGCTTAAAAAATTTAATTTAATCGGTTGCTGCAAACTTTTGATATCAAACAACGTCGTTAGAATATTCGACGAATCCGTGCATCATATTGCCAACACGCTGACGCATCATGATAAATCGCTTGTATCGTTCGAAACGCTGTATCCATGTAGGTATATATGTACCTGAATCGAATCGGATTAACATAAAGATTGCACTGTGAAAATATAAAATTTCTTCAATAATTAATATTGAAAAACGAGAATAACCGATGATCGAGCGACATTTGGATTCAAGCAGATGGACACGCTCGCTCTCTCCTTTGCTTCGCGGATAGGTCCTTCGCGCGTTTTGTGTACGATGGCACAAATATAGAATGTTATATCACAACCTCCGGCGAGGTTTCGAGACACCCGACTCCTCTTCCACTAAAGAATAGTGTTCTCTTCCTGTGTTCGCTTCGTCGCAAGACGAAGTGCGACTCGAACGCGTGCTTGCAATCCCTTCTGCACGCAGCCTACGCCACGCGTGAGACTCAAGACACAACGTGTCGCGTCAAGGCGGACGATTCCGATTACCAGAAGAGCTCATGAGCGAGCCTCGACGTGGACGCCGCTGCTGCGGCCGCCGCGGCTGCCGCTGCCGCCGCTACTGACGATGATGACGATGACGATGACGCTCCGGGTGGCCAAAGTGGCTGACCCGGAGCCACGGTTCAATCCTCGTCGTGGTGCCGCGGACTCGCGTCATAGCCGCCGATCGAGCCGGAATTCTCGGGCGAGAAGTTCATCATATCCGTGCACGGCGAGAGGCTGCTGTCCTGTGAATAATAGAACGAGGGATGGTCTGAGCTCGGTCCGGCGCCGCCACCGCCGTTCAGCATCGTTGCCGGCGGCGAGACCGACGGCCGCGCGGACGGACCGGCGCCTGAGCCTGGATGATGCTGCGAGCCGCCCAGATCGGCGCTTACCGGCGACAAGAAGTTCATCTCGGTACCACCGTCGCGACACCACAGCTGCCGCATCTCCTGCCGTCGCTGCCGCATCAGCGACTTGTACTCGGAGATGCGCATCTTCTTGCCGTCTACGATGCACGTGCGTTTCGGCCGCGGCCGATACCTATAGTCCGGATGTTTCTCCATGTGCAGCTTGGATAGCCGAGACTGTTCCTCGTAATACGGCTGCTTCTCCGAGTTCGACATCGACTTCCATCGCGCACCTGCAACCGGCGAGAGGATGCGTGTTGAAGTGTTCTTCGATAACATTTATCTTTATTGTATCATTTAAACGCGTCGAATAATATTCTGCTTTTATTATATTAGAATATAACATTGCGCGCATGTAGCGCAAATGTACATTTCGTTCATTTTTATGTCTTAGAATCTTGTATTATTTGACAAGTCTAGAACTTTACTACGATGCATTAAAATCTTATATTTTAGAATTCTAGACTATTTCTGTTTAAAATACAAGATTTCCATGCATCGCAGTAAAGTTCTAGGCCTACCGAATGACGTGATATAACATTCTATTTTCATAAAAATAAATAAAATGCACATTTTAACATTCTTTGTTTGAAATATAAGAGAGGACTTGTATTATAAATGTATCATGTTGTATTACTGTTGAATTTTATGAGTATTTGAATGAGAATTTTATGAATTATATGAGTATAAAGTATGCATTATACATGCTTAATCTCGATGAAACTAAAGTAATTTGAAATGAACATTATCGACGATAACTGCAACATGAAAAGTAATATGGATTAGATACACTTACCAAGAATTTTCGATATGTTGGAATTGTGCATGTCTGGACAGGCTTTCAAGATCTTTCTACGTTCATCCTTGGCCCACACCATGAATGCGTTCATAGGTCGCTTGATATGTGGCTTGTTCTCACCCTCCCTTTTCTGCTGCCTCACCATTTTAGCTGAAGAGAGAGACAGTAGCGTTAGATGTCACGTCGTCGTCGCGATTCACGATACTCTCGTGAGAAACGAATCTGATTTCGCGAGGGCGTCACCTGGCGCTCTCAAAACAAGGAGCGTAATATCAGCCTAATCGTTACTCATAGAACTGCTTACCTTTTTCCGTTATGTCTTCCGCTACTTTATATGCCGGATCTCGCCACACTGCAATTTCAAAACCGAATCATATATACAAGATACGACATGCAGAGATTACTGAAGATGAACTATGTGAGATATAGATCATCATAATAAACGGCGTTTTACAATACTATATTTTTCTATGTTTAACAAAACAATATATGTGTGAATTCTCATAATATTAAAGTAATACAAATTTTTTATATATTATAAGCGTAACAATTTTATGTTTGACAAAATTTTAACTCAATTCAAATGACGAAATGCTTTATCATAATCTATATTTTTCAATAAATAATTAAATCTAAAAAAGAAGAAATTTGTGACTGAATTCACAGCGAATTCTAAAACACAACATGTTAAATAGCCTTTATGTTTGCCATCTGTCTTGATTAATGCGAGAAGCTCGACATTTACTTACTGTGAGGTGTCGAGAGAAAGTCTTGCTCCTCTTGAGGTGTTTCCTCCCGGGAGCTAGAATGCTTGATCGGTCTTTGAGTCTGGGCTGACGGTGGCATCGCACCTGCACTCGGTGGCAATCCGTAGAGTCCGTGCATCGCGAAGTGCTTTTCCACGGCCGCGACCGCAGCAGCCGCTACGGCTCCTCCCGGTCCGCCGGCCTCGTCTTTGGCCATTACCTTGCCCACTGTAACAGGTCGCAGGAGAAATGAAATGAAAGGAATAAAGATATGACGAAGCGGAGATACGCGCACAAATTATTTTACAGATACGCAGTACTGAAAAACTGCAAAAATCTGACCCGCGAATTCTTCGTTCAATTCGAAATTGATCCTGCCGCAAGAATTTTGTGTATTAATTGTAAAAAATTTTTTCAAGTAGATTCCGCCTGAAATTTAACAGTTTGTCAAGATTTATTATCTATTCGCAGTTTTGTTATGGATCAATTCGCAAAAATAAAATGTTTTCGATTAAATAAACGAAGAAGGTAATTTTTTTCTAGATTTAACATAATTCCAAAATTTATATATATATATATATATATATATATACATGTTTTTCACCGTTTCGAATATATCACCGGATAAAGCGGACACGCCGCAATTGTTACGCGAGGAGACTCGCTCTAACATCATAATGACGGCCCGTAAGTCCGAGATTTTCTTCCCCTCGTTGCGCGATTCTCATCGCGCGGCCCTTATCGGGCGGAATCGCGTTACGCATCGTTGATTATGGGCACGCCGGTGTCCACGTAAAAACCAGATGGCAAGTGAAACAGGTTCTCCGGGGCGAGTAACGAGGAGAAAAAAGAGCGGCCGCGGACAATCGGGAAAACTAGCCTGTTCGAAGATGATTAAGTGTTCACCGCCGGCATGAAATCGCACGGCGCATACCTTGGGAGAGTACCGACCGTGCCTTTCTCTCGGAGCTCATTTACGACGATCATTAATTTGCAATTGTTCTGCGGGACGAACGCTTCGCGCAACCATTAAATCGAGGTTGACCAATAATGACAATTTTGCTAATATTCAAATTGCAGTAACAACTTTAATTGCGATGCGAAAGAACGTTTAACGGACCATGCGATCGAATCCTACGTTCATGAATGTAGCAGATTCCCTGCAGAAAGTCTCCATTTCGGATATTGCCGATGATTAAGGTAAAAGATCTTGAATGTTTCACTCACTCGGCGAAGATAGAGAGCTGAGATGTGGCGGCAGGCCGGCGTAAGGAAGCGTCGGCAGGTAATTCCGCGGTATCGGTAATCCTGGCGGGAAGAGCTTGGGCGCGGTTGCCGCCAACGGTTGCTCCTGCTGACCACTGCTTCCGGCGCCGGTCGAGTGCGAGTCACTGCCGGGCGAGGAAGATGCCGTGGCGCCTGAGGACGTGGATTTCGGCTTCGTGAGGTTCAGCGGGGCGTCGAGATCCTGAAGAGGCGGGGCCGTCGGCGCTACGGCGGATGAGATCGGCGCCGGTGACGATGATTCCTTCTCCATTTGCGTCGTTATTTGCGCGAGATGCGCGGTCGCCCAGCTCGGGCCTTCCCGATGACTGCTGATCATCTGCAAACGAAAAGAAAATCTTTAGGACAAAGTGCAATTTTAAACGGGCAATGCAATAATTCGACAAATCTTTACAAGCTAAACAGAGTTAAGTTAGAATACTAGTTGAAGATTTTTAAGATTCTCTAATTGTTAAGAGCAACATTAGTCGAAGTATTCTAAGGTGTTATTATTTCAACGATTATTAATGACTATACTACTTATATTGAGGTATGTGATTGTGTTATTGTTTTAAGGATAAATTTCTTGATAAATTTTAACTTCCTATATCGCTGACCATTCTTTAACATTCACAGTTTTATGTAGTTTGACCAACAATGAAGGTAATAGCCTCAGTTCATCGGTTCATACTGACTTCGTCAGATATGACCGAATTATTGCATAATTGCGTTTGCGTTTGAGATTAGGCAATTTAATTGTATTTTTTAACTTTTGCTTACATTCCTTTTGTCGAGGAATGGATAAAATAATCAAATTGCAATTTTGCGAAATATCGACTAGACGATATCGAAAATCACGTACATTGGCGATGGAGTTGATGTGCTTGTTGCCGGTCGTGGCGGTCGATGTGGCCGGCGGCGGAGGCATGGGCGACTGCACGGGCAGCCCTCTGAGCTGCTCGAGAAACGGCAGGAACATCAACGACTGCGGCCCCGACATACTCAGCTGGCTCTTTGTCATCTGAGCCTGCAACTCCTGGATGTTGTGCTGCATGATGTGCTCTTGCTGCCGCTTCAAGTGCTCCGTTTGCAGCCGCTGCATCTCGATTTGCTTCTGCGAGTCAACCGTCATGTGAGCGGGATACGACTGTAAAGGCACACGGACCACTAATTAAAGGGACGCTGCGGTTGTGCACCGACTCTATGCTCGTGAAGGCACGCTGGTGAAACCTCGCATCGCTATTGCGGGGGTGGACAGTTCGGTGGCTTGTCCGCGCGGATGAAATACACCGGACGTGTTGCCGGGACAATGTAAGCGTGGAGCAAATTGCGCGATGTGATTGCCACTTTATGCCGCTAACGACTCGATGCGTCGTAAAGACCGTTTTGGACTCTCGTACGTCTTGTCTCTGTATACTTTAGAGCAGGCAGCAGACGGATGCGAAACGTATTGTACGCAATTCCGCTCGAACGAGATTTTCTTTTTTGAACGTCTTAATGTAACGTTGCACTGAAGTGCATTGTATGCAGCGCGTAAAAACAATTTTGTTGTTTAACAATTTGAAGCATCTAGGCACATTACGCTAGCTAGGACGTATAAATACGATTATATATAAATGATGCAATCGCGCTAAGAATGTTTCTTTTTTCCTGACATTTATATAAGCTAACGGCACACAATATTTATATAATATCGATTCCTTAACGTTAACAAAGCAATATATCTTAATAGTTCGAGATGTTTTGAAGAGATCAATTTATTTTGTCACTTTACACTTTATCAAAGAAAATTTTTGCATCTAAAACATGACAATTTTAACTTATTTTTGTTGAACATTGATATATTCGTTGAAGGAATATTTTTATTAGTATAACAAATTACCATAATATTTTTATGCTCCGCGTAAAAAAAACTTTAGACTCAAATGTCAAATTGTCAAAACTGTTTCAATAATTTATCCCACGGTGTTTTATCAAGTATACTTATATATTGCGTTTAATAAAGAAAATTCACAATTCAATAGTAAAAAACTTAATTGCGTGTAATATCGTGATTAACTAGTAATATCGTGATTAAGCAGATCTCAGCTAGCGAAGTGCATCGCCAGCAATTTTTTTTGCGATGAACATTATATTAATAGCATTAATTGCATGCCGGATTTAGACGAGTATCCGATTCACCCTCCATAGGAACGTAACAATTTACGCGACGAATATCATTGTACTTTCCTAAGTCCTGGCTACGATCCAGATACGCGTGGAGTTTATTTTAGACGATAAGGAAGACGTTTATTCATCCAGCCTGTGCACCAGCTGAGACGTCACACGCGCGCGCGACGCTGGATGCACTCGTGTCGCCCTTCTCCGACTTCCCGCGATTATTAATTTCTCGACGCTCGATGGTGGATCGCGGAAAATGATTTACGATCGACAACGGCTTCTGCCGGCAAAGCTTTATCATCGAGGCGTAGAAAGTCGGCGGAAAACATTGGCCGGCACACATTGTAAATATAAATCGCGGCGGAAATAAAAATTGCGGGCTGAGTTTCTGTCGTCGGACAGCGACACAAAAATCCGTGCAAAACACGCGGTGTTACGCAAGCGGCGATAAGCAGTGACCTTCCGTGTCAATTAGCCATTGCCGGATACTTCTTATTGGTCTTTGCGGATTTTCTAACAGATAATGACGCGCGAAATGATTACAATGTGTGACGGGCAAGAAGTCGATTAATATATGTGTCAATCGGTTTCTGTTGATTACAGTGTGCTTTTTAGCCGTGCTAGAAATAAAGCTTGCACCAATGTTTAACTTTAATCGAGATTGATCGAGGAATTAATATTCTCATCTTTACATTTGCGTACAGTTTCATCTATAAATTTTAATTAATTAAAATATCGATTATCCTTAAATTATGATTTAAAAAGAAATCGAGATATTACGTTCTTTTAGGAAGGAGAAACTAATTCCACTTTTATCGAAATAATATTTTAATAAAAATTTATCACTATTTATCTTTTCTTTAGACTTCTGATATTAATTAACCGATACATTACCTCACCTACTTTCGATAATGCACGGGAATTGGATTTCGCATATAAAAAAGCAAATATATATATATGTTGCTTTAAGCATCAAGCACGGAACTAACAAGGCAATCATGACATTCGGATTGAGAGTATCATGTGACCATGTTCTCCATTTTCTGTAGTCGCTGATGTTACAATCTTTTACGATGCGTCGGCACGGCGAGTCGCTCAAAGGCTGCCGAACTGTGCGTTTATGTCCCTGCGAGAGCGTACGCGCATATGCGTTCATTGAGACCACATGTCGCGTTTGCCTTCGGCGACGCGAAGAATCGGCCACCGAGACAATGAGACGCGGCGACCCGGGTAACGCCAATTCGGGTAACGTCTTCGGTTCGCGGCAACTATAATGGGCGACAGAAGTGGGGAAGAGAGAAAGAGAATGAGAGAGAGAGAGAGAGAGAGCCGAGGGAGAAGCGACTGGAACTTCATTATTCATTTGCACAGTTCAGTTATGCCGATGATACGTATCCGTGACAGCTATACCGCCCACAGTGGCTAAATATAAACAGGCGGGGTGCCAGCAAGTTCCATTCACATTCACATCCACACGCGACGCGGCGGTTTAGTAAGTGAGCATAAGAATATGAGGAGCTCCGTTCTGAATATGCATCCGCGCATTGACGCCAACTGCACCGCCTAAACTTAGCCACGCAATTACCGAAACATACCTACCCCCGTAATCGCTCTTCGCCCGATTATCTATCGGATCATCAGTCAAGCGGAATCCGTGTGACGCGGAAGAAAGCACTGATATCTCAATTAGCTGTGCGCTGTGTAAAATCGCAAAGAAATTAATTAAAATTATATATTGCAGACGCATTATATCTGTTAAACATATAAACCCGGCTTGCTATCTCGATGCATCGCAATTCCACGTTAATCTGCAACATTTGAATATTGTAACGGGGAGAAATATAGTTAGATCGACGATATATCTCGAAACTCTCGCGATTTTATTTAACAGTACCGACAATGCGTTTTGCAAGCATCGCATCCACGAGTCGTCGCGAAATGCGCCGCGCGAGATGCGGGGCTAAAGGCCACGAAATTCGCTTGTCTAGATTTAGAATCGGAGCCACTGGAGTGCGAGTGCAAGAGGACATGACGTAGATCCACCGGAAGTGGTTCATACTTCACGTGCGTTATAAAGACTGTCACTGCGGGTACTGTCTAAAATTACGTCGCGCTGCCAAGAGCGCGCGCCGGCGTGAACGGCCCCGCAGATCGGATTAGAGTCGTCCTCGGATATCGGTGCGATTTTATCGCGATCGCCTTCGCCCGAAATGCACCGCGTTATGAATAATCGATCGAGAGGAAAGGGGAGGACCGGCCCTTCTCGCGGCGACGAGCGGAGACAACGAGGAGCCAACAAAAAAGCGCCGCTACACTCTTTAATGGAATTTTAAAAGAGAGACGCGGAATCCAACGGACACACAGAGGGCGGTTTGTGGATACATAAATTATATATATATGGAGCGCTTTGAACGGGATTCTTTTTGTACAGGGCCGGCGTCGCAACGACAGAAGGGAGAAAGAGAGGGATCCGTGAATTGCGGGAATCTAGGGCAACCGGAAGCCGGTATTTTCGTGGCGCCGCTCTTCGAGTGTAGCGAGAGGTGTATAGACGGTCCGCGGGTACGTCGCCGTGATGCGACCGGCCGTCCTCTCGAAAGTCGTCCGCCATCTCTTTCATCGCAAAATCGTATCGCGATGGACGATGCATAATGCAGACATTGACAATGTAGGACAAAAATCGGTGCAGACGAGGGAAGTGTTATTATTAGATAGAAATATGTCCCACAAACATCGTTATTAATTTTAATGAAAGTTACCGTTGTTGGTCATTTCAAGTGGATTTTCCGCGTAATTTTATTAATAGATCTTACATCGATAATTTTTCAAATTATTTTTAAAATTGCCATGATTATCATCTCATCAAGTATTAATACTTCTTCATAAGACATGTTATATGATAATTCACGCAGGATTACGGCTTTTTTCTTCGCGTAATCTAATAATCTGATAGATCTCGTTGATGTCATTTGTATCCCTGCAATTGAATTCTATTATGCCACGTGTGCCACAGTGAATTTCCTATCTCGTTGGATATAAATAAAGACTCCACATGTAAACTACCAGTATATACGTAATCTAATCGTCGAAAACAACCGTTTCTTTTATTACTCAATTAACTAGATTACATGTAACATGATAAATTGTACACACGAATTGCTTTTATTTCGAATCATTGTCGATCGTACATATTAAATTTAACTTTCATACATTATAAATTATTTTTTGCACTTTTTGTCTGTCTAGTATTTTTCTTATTACATGCATTTAATCAGAAGAAAATTTAGACGAAAGAAAAACAATAATGTATCCTATGCATGGTATTTCGATGGCATCGTGCGCACGATACATGATTTATGTACCTTTCTCGGGGCTGCAAAAGGTGCAGAAAACACATTTCCCGCGATCGTCAAAAGACACGAGTTTGCCGTCGACCTCTCACGAAATCCATAATCATAGATCAGGCCGGTCCAGCGGACCGTGTGTAAAGATACAGACGGATATTTTCGGATCTCTTTATTGGCCGATGTTTATTTTCCGTTCGCCGCCTCTAATCTTTTGATATTCCACGTCGGCGGATAAACAAATTGGCCGATCATCGGCGCAGACCGGTTTCTCGCGAAAACCGCTAATATTAATAATTCCCTTTGCCGCGTCGGGACCGATATCGGCTCGCCGATATTATCGGCAGAATGAACGAGCCATCCGCCATCCGCTTACGAAGCGCGCGTCTCGATCGTGATCACAAAGACGACTTTGTTTCCTTTTCAAGTCACGTCATCGGTTCTGCGAGCAATTGTGATAATGCATGCGGAGTCAACTATGTAAGATTTCTGCTGTCGCGAATCTCATGCGGACACGCAGCACCATTGATATCTCATTGACCAATAGTTAGATTATTGCTCAATAATTCTCCTTCCGGGAAACACATTGAGATAATTGGCGACAGTGAATGGTCAATTAAGAAATTGTCAGATAGTTTAGTCT